GAAACTGGAACTACAACACGGACACCCGTACGGTCCTCTACTCCCACTCTCATTCTCCGATTCGCATTACGAGACGCGGGACTCGGCAATTTGTGTCTTGGAAAACAGTACGAACATGGGCGGGGACGAACAGACGCACCCGAAGGAAGGTGAGGAAGTGAACCAGTGCACTAATTTATGACGTGATGTCTCAAAGTGATACCCTTTCTTTCTTATCGAATCATCTCACTTGCATATACGTTGCAGCTATCCCCCTTTCTATTGCACTGGCGGAGATAATGTTTATTTTCACCATCCAGTTATGGGTGATACTTTTCTTGTAATTATTTGTTGACATCCTCCTAGAGCTTACTTCGTTTCACTTTTCATTGTTGGACAGGCGAGCATCATATATACGCGTGGGGGCATGTTACTTGTGCATAGCATTGATTGGAATCAGTTTTTCTGTATATTCGATAGATCAACTTGATGTGCCGCTTATACCTCGCGAGAGGTAGAACTCAATGCATAATATAGAGATTTGCCAGAGTCAATGTCCACATGGAGAGAATGTCTTCTGCCCTTAGATTAGCGTTGCAATTCATTCGCCTGATATGGATATAGCATGCTGCCGTAACCTGTCCAGGAGCGTTTCCACTCGTCCATCACCCCCGATAAACAGAGCTTCCAGCCTCTTGTCTCTCCCGCGGTCGCCGATAACGACTGCGCGCTCAATAATCCCCGTGTCAGAAAGTCTGAAGCGCCCCACGCGTCCATCCTCCCATTCCAGACGAATATACCTCGCCTCGAGTGCCGTCGGGGCAAGAGACACAATCCCCAAGTCATTCGGCTCCAACCGACTCTCGTCTACACCGCCACCCACAGTCCCATCTTGAACACCGCCCAGGTCTTCCTTCAGCATATTAACCGCACCGACTCGTAGATGCCACGCAACCAGCTGGCGCCTCAACTCGCGAACTAGACCCCGCAGGTCCTGCCTCCGCACCCGACCCTTCCCCGGCTTGAGGGGTGCATCTTCTTCCGTGGACTCCGGCGTCGGTGGTAAAGGCAGATAGACGCTCTCGAGTTTCTCGAGTGGAATAAACGCAGGTATTGTGTGTCGGTGCACCCGCAGCCTCTTCTCGTCGCCCGTGCCGGCCCGTCTCAGAAGTACGTAGTACGGTTTCGTGAAGCGGCCATTTCGACAGCAGATATCAATGCGCACGCCTAGTAGATTCGGGTGGTCCGAATGGGGGGAAGGATCTTTGAAGGGGAAGGTGGTTGTTGAGAACGCGACGCGGTGATGGTTTAGTTCGGCGTGTTTATCGGCGGCTTGGGCGAGGGGGGAGACTTCGTCGGTTAAGGATGAGATGGGTGTTGGCGCTGCTGCTGCTGCTTGGCGCGCCTGTAGTCGTTTTTGAAAATTGTCTGACGAAAGAAGGCTGGAAGTTAGGAGTCGACGTCGTCGTTGGAGATTGCGGACTGGTATGTGGTTAGCGTTGCGTGATGATGGGTGGTCTGTAGGACTCACTTTCGCGCCGGATGGAGGATATCTCAGAGTCTAACTGCTCTTCCACTTGTTTAAGACTGTCCGGTGATTCCATTACCGCGGTTTGGAGTATATAGGCGATGTAATATCTCATGTAGATATGATGGTGCGGAGAAGCACTTTACCATGTCATGTTTGTTTGTGTTGCTCCGGCGTCACGTGTCATCGAATCCATGCAGACTTAAGTACAACGGAATCCATTTTCGTCCCAAGTAACAGCGATGGAAATACAGAGTAGTCTCAGACTGCTGTTCCTTTACTGGGTCGTGCCTATGCATTTTTCATTCTTAATTACAGCCGCATAGTTGACACGGCGATGCCACGATAGCAACAGGTGTGAGATCTCGGGCATACGATAGGCAAGGGATTCATGTCAGCCAACACATATGGCATCAGTGCATACGGAATAGCTTAGCTTCTAAAGTGATGAAGAATCATGCGCATATGCAGTGTGTACCGCAGCTGATCTTAACGAGCTATGACGATCTGGAACCATATTCGAGCCGTGCCATTCTGTATTATTACACTGGCGTAGACTCGAGACAACAGTGAATGGAAAGTCAGTAGTGACACGGACATCGCTGTAGTTAACTCCCATCTAGATCAGATGTACCTACAGTTAGACTGCAAAAGACGCGAAGAAAAGAGATGCTAGCCTCTTCCATGATCCCTCAGTCCCTGGACTATTATTAGCCGACCCCCGAGTCGCCGACACTAAGATAAGCTTCGCCCCGAACGATCTCCAGAAGGTCCCTTGAGGCCAGCTTGCCTTAGTCGGATTTCTTTCAAGCTTCCATACTGGGCCCTAGCACCTTCTCCTCCACTTTCTACCGCCGCATTACGGAGTAGATGGATGCATTATCCTCATCTTGACCCTGTCTCTCATTCCTGTCATCCTGACCCTTCCACTCCTTCCTCCCTTCATGTTCGAGCCACGTCTCAGCATTCTCCTTCCGCAGCTCACCAACCCGACGAGGTAGAACTTGACCCACTAGCTTGCAACAGCAGTAATCGCAGCAATCACAGAGACGAAACCAACACAGACATCTTTCATCAGCCCGAGACTTCTTTTCCTGCACCCTCAGATTTCGAATCCGGCTCGGACAGTGAGGACGACACGGCGGGCACGCGACTTCTTGAGCACCACCGCGGACGAAGCAGTACACAGATGAAGAACAAGAGTCGCACGGTTTCAAAACGTCGCTCCAAACCGAGCTTGACCCTCGCGACCGGCACGCAGAACGGCTCTGCTGGCGGCGAGATGAATTCCAATATTGAAATGCGCAAGAGGGATACCTCCCTCGAATCGTCAGGAGGGCAGGCCTCGCGCTTGATGTCCCGGCAGAGCTTCAGCTTGAACGATGACCCCCCGATCACTCCGCAGACTCCAGCTATGGCGACAACTAGCTTCGCCAACTTGCCTTCCTCCGACCGAAGAAACTTTTTGCTTTTATGTGTTCTCTATTTCCTGCAAGGGATTCCTATGGGGTTGGCCACAGGATCTGTTCCGTTCCTGCTCAAACCATACCTTTCCTACGGTCAGATCGGCGTTTTCTCGTTAGCATCTTACCCTTATTCGTTGAAGCTTCTCTGGAGTCCGATTGTCGATGCAGTATGGAGTCAAAGATTTGGGAGACGGAAGAGCTGGATCACACCTGTCCAGGTCATTGCGGGCCTGGCAATGATCTATCTGGGTGGACACATTGAGGAGATGATGGTGCAGGCCGGTGCCAATGGTGGTGCTGGCGTCTGGAATTTTACGTATTGGTGGTTCCTGCTCGTCTTTTTCTGCGCCACCCAAGATATTGCGGTTGACGGTTGGGCCATCACGCTCATGTCGCCTCCGAACATCTCTTACGCCTCGACCGCGCAGACCGTTGGCCTTACAGCCGGGCACTTTCTGTCATATACGGTCTTTCTGGCATTCAACTCAAAGGATTTCGCGAACCGCTGGTTTAGAACGGTTCCCGGCGAGGATGGCCTGCTGTCTTTGGGCGGATATCTGAAATTCTGGGGTTGGGCTTACCTATTTGTCACGATCTGCTTGGCTGTCATGAAGAAAGAAGACAAGTCAAGGGAGCGGGACAGCATCACCGATGTCTACCAGAGCATGTGGAACATCCTGAAACTCAAGAACATCCAAACCATTATTGCGATCCATCTTATCGCCAAGATTGGTTTCCAGGCCAATGATGCCGTCACCAGCTTGAAGCTGTTGGACAAGGGATTCGGCACGGACAACATGGCGCTGGTCGTTTTGATCGACTTCCCTTTCGAGATTGGTCTTGGCTACTATGCTGGAAAATGGTCGACAGAGTATACTCCCATGCGGCTATGGTGCTGGGCGTTTATCGGACGACTGGCTGCAGCCGTCCTGGCTCAAGCTACCGTTATGATCTACCCGGCCAGCGAGGCGGTTCCTTTCTGGTACATTTTGGTTGTGATTGGGGAGCACGTCTTTTCGACATTTATGAACACAGTCATGTTCGTTGCAGTATCTGCTTTCCATGCTCGCATTGCCGATCCCGCCATTGGTGGCACGTACATGACCATGTTGGCAACGTAAGTTCCCGTTGCCCATATGTACTGCTGTATACTGACCGATCTAGCGTTTCCAATCTTGGTGGTACATTCCCTCGGTACTTCATCCTCAAACTCGTTGACTTTTTCACCGTGGCCACTTGCATTCCCCCCGCCGTCCCACCTGCAGCGGAGAAGCTGAAGGGCGATTTGATCACGTCTGCGTTCTCTTGCGCCTTGGAGCCTGACAAGAACCGCTGCGTCAACGGCGGTGGAGTATGCGAAACCAGTCGCGACGGCTACTACATCACCAACATTCTGTGTGTGTTGATTGGAACAGTCACTTTTATCATGTTTATCCAGCCTGCGGTCCTGAAGCTCCAGAGTCTGCCTCTAAGGGCATGGAGATTGAGCAATGGAGATCGGTAGTAGATGTCAGGTAATGAAATGACATGTTCAACCATTATACTGCGTCCATATCATGTATATTAGATAGCTTGCCTGAGAGTCATGGCTCATCAGACTCATGCGTTAGACAAAATACAAGTTGGCAATTCAGCCGGTATGCTCCATATCTACCTCTACAGAAACGTACTCCGTAAAGTTTGCCAACACACTGGGGCCCCCTGTACATCGCCAATCACATCCGCCGCCAACAATCTGCAACAGACACATGTCACACCATTCGCCATGTTCCTGGCCAGCGGGCCTCTGCAGATTCGGATCTAATATTAGGTCCCTATACCAATCGATTAGTGGAGAAGCAGTATGGACATACTCGCGAGTCGCGACTAATACCCCTGCTATATAGCTAGCTCGGGGATCACTAGACTACTCCTCACACTCATTTTCCGTTGTCCTCCTTCCACCCCATCTCCACCTCCCGTCTTCATCCTTCATCTAAATCATTATCAACTACCATCAGTAAATAGCAATACAACACGACACGACAATGTATCTACCTCCCCTCCTCACCGTCGCCGTGACCATCATGCTCTCAACAACATCCGCCCTCGAAACCCGCGAGATCCTCGCACCCCGCAACGTAAGTCCCTCGCCATTTTCTGAACGGCATGAATGATGATGATATGTCTAACGAACTGAAGTGGGACCTCCGCCTCCTCGGACCGGGGTGTAACCCCAACGCGTCGAACATCGACATCTCGGTTTTCCACCGGTCGGGGCTCTACGGGCGAGACTGCGAGGCTCTCGATACGAGTGTCTACAATACGACGAGTGTGAAGAGTGTTTCGTGGAAGAGCCCGAGCCCCGGGGCGAATCGGTATGATTTGTGTATGTATAATGATGCGGAGTGTGGGAGTGATAACCCCGATGTTATTCGCGGTGGGTGGAATGTTTGTTATCCGTTTACTGGGTGGGTGGGGTTTAGGGTTGTTCCAGGGGGTGAGGAGTGTTGATCAACGGAAGGAAAGGTGTGCATTCTATGTATATGGATAGCGATAGTGAGGGTGTACATGCGTTTGAGGAACAGTTTAAGCAGTCTTGCTCTTCTTGCGCTTGCCGAATGAAAAGTTCCACTTCTTCACCCGGAAACAGTAGTAGAGCATCACCGCCACGGCGATGTCGAACGCGACGTACGCCCAGAAGATCCCAAAGTTGCGCCACCGCTCGCTCCAGAAGATGTTGACGCTCGCCAGGTACTGGTCTGCGACGGAGAGGGAGCAGAATTCGCACGAGGACGTCGCGTTGGGGTTGCTGAGGTGCCCCGGTGCCACGGCCATGTAGGCTGCCATGTATTCCTGGCATGTCTGCCCTGATGGGGGATTGAAGATGGCTGTTTCGGCTGCGCTGCACTTGACTGCACGGCCGTGCAGCTGCGTGGCGGCCATTCCGCCCACCCAGTATGTGAACGGCGAGACGCGGTACATGAAGATCCAGAATCCAGGCAGTGCTTCGGGTGTCTGCATGACACCGTTGAACGTCAGAGCCATGGAGAACAGGAGGGTCACAATGGCACCCGCTGTTTCGGCGTCCGGTAAAGCGGCAATCACAAAGTCGGCGAAGGTGCTCGCGTAGATGAAAAATTGTACGCAGAACAACAGGACCAGGCCTTGCCGGTCAGACGATTGCACGCCATTCACTGCATAGTAGTAGCAGCCAAACACGAGGATGCCCATCAGGATCTGATAGGGAATCTCGACGATGATGTTCGCAATCATAAACGCTTTCCAGGAATACGTCTTGCTGGGCCTCTCGCGGACCTCATAGAGAGCGCGCTGCGTGATGAACAATGGGATAATCTGCTGGACAAGCGAGGAGAAGATGGCACACAGCATGAACACGGAGAAGATGACATTCTGCATGCCCTGTAAGGAAGTATCGGCCTTGAAAAATGAGAATCCGATGAACAGACCTGCGCATATGCCAAGCATCATCTTGGCCACAATGTACATGGGGAGTCGCCAGTATTGCTGGAAAACTCGCACAGTGACAATGGGCAATTGCTTGAAGAACGGCATGGCGAATTCCTCGTGTTCGCGGTCGTTGGGGTTGCTGCTATCGTTACTTTCAGCTTCGCCTCGCTTGGCCTCGTGGATGCGGTCGATTTCGGTCTGAACCCCGGCAGCTTCTTTGCTTGCCTTCCACAAGTCGAACCAGTTCTCACCTCGAGAGTTGGTGCCAGCGTTGACGACTTCAAGCATATATTCAGCAGGGTTTTCCTGATCACCACAGCGGCGAGCACCATGCGACTCAAAATAGTCGAGGAGCGTCCGCGAATTCTCTCCAATAGGCCCAAAATACACTGTCTTTCCGCCTCGAGCTAAGAAGAGCAGCTGGTCAAATTGCTCGAACAGGATCGCACTAGGCTGATGAATGGTGCACAGGATAGCTTGTCCTGCGTCAGCCAGCTTGCGGAGGAAGTTGCAGATAGCCCAAGAGCTCTGGGAATCGAGACCACTACACCAAATTAGCACAAGCAAAAATCCGAGCAAAATTGTCTTACCTGGTTGGTTCATCCAAGAACAGTAACAGTTTCGGCTTAGCCGCCAGTTCCACACCAATGGTCAACAGCTTGCGTTGCTCAACATTCAAACCCTCGCCAGGCACACCGACCACCGCCTCAGCAAAGTCCTCCATGTTGAGCATCTTGATGACCTCTTCCACGTACGCGTATTTCTCCTCCTTGGATACAGAGGCTGGCTGGCGCAGCATCGCGCTAAAGCGCAGACTCTCACGCACCGTGGCTGTCTCAAGATGCAAATCCTGCTGCTGCACGTAACCCGTTTTCCGTTGGAAGCTTGAATCCAGCGGTTCGCCATTGACGAACATGTCTCCAGTGATAACGCCCATGGTTGTACGGTGTGCCAACACGTCAAGCAGCGTGGTCTTTCCCGCACCACTGACACCCATTAGGGCCGTCAATGTACCCGGCTTGACCCAGCCTGATACGTGATCAAGCAGCCGACGAGGCTCACCTTTGATCTCGATATCGTACACCACGTCGCGCCAGGTGAAGATATCCTGCTGAGGAGGAATCGACGCAATACCTTGGTCTTGCTTGTTTTCTTCAGCGGAGGAAGAAACCACCGTTTTGCCAGCGCCGGCCTCTTCATCCGCACCAGGCTCGTGTCCATTTTTCAAGTGGGCAGGCTCGTGGCCTCGACGGAAGACAAGAACCTCCGCTGAGCTTGTCGTGGCGGAATTCAGTTCGGTTGCGATGAAGTAGATGACCATGAAGCCAATCAAGAATGCTATCAGAATACCAAAGTTTCTCCAGACATGCGAATAGCTGTAGCTGTATGACGCTTCGATGTATGCATCCCCACTAACAGTCCGACGACCAGCAACAGCACCTCTTGCCGAGCAGACGAAGGAGTCGCCGCGTAGATTGGGATAGGCAGGGATAAACTGTGAACAGGTAAACTCCCGCCCATGAAACTCATTGGCTATCAGGATCTCAAAGGCGTAAAAAATAGGGTTCAGATAGTGAATCCACTTGAACCATGGGTGCATATAATTTACTGGAACAACAAATCCGGTGTAAATAACTAGCATCAAAATCAGGACACCGGCCAGTGTCATGGCCTGGGAAACAGTCCTGGTGATTGCGGCCATGGTCCGGAAGACAGCACTCATGACGAACATGATGATGAACGTAATGAGGAAATAAATGAAAAATTGAGACGGTTCGCGACGTAGGCCACTCAGAAAATAGAGAATGATGTTGAACGCTACTGCCATGAGGAACTTGACCGGAATATCACTGACAACCCCTGCAATGGCCTCGGTGGCGGGATGATAGAAGGCAAAAGATGCATGTTTCTCGACGATTGGTCGCTGGGAATATAAGCTATTGATCTCGGTCATTGCGGTAAGGGCATTAAGCAGCACGGCGTAGAAAAGGGTCGCACCCTTGGCGTAAAACCCCGCGGTGGCTGTGGGAGTTCCGAAGAAGACAGAACCCACAATCAAGGCGAGAATGGTGTTGCCAATGAACGTAGTCATAGTGGAAGTCCGTTCATTCCACACTCGTTGATATGCACGCTTGGTGTTGAGCTTGATCTGCATGGGAATGCTGAGGAGATACGGAGACTTGGGCCGGGTATGGGATGCCTGCGCCAGGCGCTTGCGCTGCTGAAATTCGAGGAGTTTCTCATTGCCCTGCGAAGACGTTTCTCCTTGGAAAGCAGCCATCTCCCGCTGAAGCCCTTTGTATTCTTCCGACTGGTGCCAATATGCTTCGAACTCAGCCGCGGTTCGGGGCACCTGGGACTCCATACCGGGCCGAGCTTGTCTTTCAATTGGGTTGGTCACCGACGTGAGGAAATCTCCGGTCGTCTGACGTGGGGGACAGAACCATCCTTGCCGTTCGAAGAACGCCTTGGCCTTGCTGGCCGGGCCAAAATAAATCTGGCGTCCCTCGTACAGCACCACAGCTTTGTCAAAGAGATCATAAATGGCCTGGCTGGCTTGGTATATCGCCACAGCGTGTGCGGACGAGTTCAAGTCTGCAGCTAATCGCAAGGATTCGACGAACTTCAACGCGGTTGCCGAATCCAACCCCCGGGTGGAATTGTCCCAGGCTGCCAACGGAGCGCCTGCCAGAGCCATTTCCGCGATACTGACTCGCTTGCGCTCACCACCGGACACTCCTCGAACTGTGTCGTTTCCAACCTTAGTGTTGTAGGTGTGGCTAAGGCCGAAGACAGCCATGACGACTTTGGTCATCATCTGAGCATAGTCGTTCCTGGACATACCGCCCAGTCTTTTGGACGGAGTGCGCACCGCTGCCGCAAATTCCAGAGTCTGGCCGACAGTCAAGTGAGGGAAATGCTTGTCAACTTCCTGGTTGTAGACCACTTCGCCTTTGAACTCTTTGATCATCGTAGACTGTGGAATTCCGCTGTAGTGAAGGACGGTCTTCTCGTCAACATTCAAGCCATGTAGTTCCCCACTGAGAGTCTTGAGGAAAGTGCTGCACCCTGAGCCGGGTCGACCCAGCACAATCAGCAGCTCCCCGCTGTGCAACACACCGTTGAAGTCATGCAGAATGGTCTTGGAGGTTTTGTTCCGGAAGTTCCAAGTCTCCCGCCGAAAGGGAGCGGTTATAATGTCTGCAACTGTCTTCTGCAATTGCAAGGCCGCTCCCGTGCCGGAGACGCGAAGATGTTGGAAAAATATGCTGGCTTCTTTACGAGGAACACCTTCTTCATTGAGCACATGGACGACCTTCCGTAACCATTTGTACAGATCAAAGTCTTTATTTTCCGGGTTCAAAGCCGGATCATCGAGTGAGATATCGGCCACAGTGCTGACCCTAGAGACTGCATTGTCACGACTGGCTAGCTGAGTGAGGTAACGAGCTTCATCCGGGGGGATGGAAGCTCGTCGGGTGGCTACCGGAGTCAGCTCGTCATATTTCTCATCACGAGTATTGTGCCCAGTATTGGTCGATGAGGTAGCGACTGAACGAGAACCGGCTTGGATCGGCGCATATTCACTTGCAACGCCGTCTGATATGTCTTCCGCCATTGTTGATTAGTGTACGATTGCAAGGAGACCAAAGAAGGGACGGTCGGATGCTAGACTCTATGAAAATGAGGGAATGGGAAGTCTGTCCTTTCGATGATGCAAAAGAGAAAAGTTAAATGAACTGGAAAGATGGACGATATAAAGGAACGACAGTAAACGTGGTACAAGGAAAGAAAGTCAATCTCGATGTGTCTGATAGGGACATGGAGGGCATTCTATCTAGACTGAATGAGCTACAGAAGACGTACCATGTGTCGGGCAATCTGTAAACCCTTTTTTGGGCGTCTTTGCTTTATGCAACGCATTATGGGCGTATAGACAAACGGAAGGAAAATGAGTGACGATGCCGAGAATCCACAGTGGATCTGGAACCAGGAAAAGTTGGAACCGATCAGTGGCCACCACTCTCCGAATCCGTGAGCCTATTGAGTGCCGTGTATCTTCTTGCAAGGCCCACGGTTACCACTCGGCGCTCAGCTTATGACTCCGAGAGGTGGTTGATCCGCAAAGTGATTCCCGGAGCCGCCGGATAGCCCATTATAGAAGCGAGATTCACAGCAGCTATCTAGGTCTTCAAAAGTTTAACGGAATGATAATTCGCCCGAGGCTGTCAATAATCACAGTTACCAGTAGCTCAGTGTGGATCGGGTAGATAACCTTCCGAGATCCCTCTTTTGGAAGTCGACGCGAATTAGGCGGCCACATAACAGTAGGACATGATGACGCACAGTAAGAGATTGTTTGCGTTTGCGATATATGTCCAAACACAGTGCGTCAAGGATGAAATCTGCGTCGTTCAGATGGATCCTGGTACGTACAAGTCCTGTGGATCATCAGTTGATTGCTTTCTAGCTGATGGCCTGAATAATCTGATCACCTCAAGATCCGTCCACTCTAATGCGTACTGGGCCATGGCCAAAAGTCTTGGCACATTTTCGGGATCGACATGCATGCTGATAGCTTCATTCACCCTCCTAGTAAATAGTTAAATTTATCTACACCCTCCTACTCTTTATGTTCAGCTCCTTTTCAATCTATTCTTCGTGCCAACTCAAGCTCTCTCTATTAATACCTACCACATGTGTAGCACTAGGTAAGAGAAAGATCTTCTCAAGGTCCGTCGTCCACCGTAAAAAAAACAAATAAATGTGGGCCTGGGCTTGGTACTTCTTCCTACGGAGATTGACACTAGCAGCTACCTTGTGCGGCTTTTGATTATCATCAGCCAACTTTATTCACAATCACATGCCATTCCATGTCCAGCATGAAGTCCTGCAGAAGTTGGATCAGTACCTCGCTCCCCACACCGCGAAGCGGGCAATGATTAGTGCACAGTTGCCAGAACCAAAACGCACCGCACCACAGTAGATGATGAGGATATCTGTAGGAACTGGGACAAAGCTACGTATGGAGATTTGGCCAAGGTTTTTTTTTTTTTTTTTTTTTTTTTTTTGCGAAACGGCCCATAGGGCCAGATACCGTCTTCGGCAGAAAGACATATTGTTAACAGCTCAAGGACGCACACAGCAATTGCAGAATAACAGTGCCTTTTCTCGAGGAATTAGTCGGTGCGCTACAACTAAATGGGCAACCTCATGGCTGATGTTGAGAAGCCAACAACACCACAAAAGCCCGGGACTGGGACGACTCCTCGAAAGAAGGTTACCTCGATACCGCAGAGCAGCTCGCCAAGCTTCGCAAAGAAGCAGGCAAATGACGACGAGGATGGCACACATTCAGAGCCTAAAAGCTTACCATCAGCAGAAGAATCCGATACCACACGCTCTCGCACACATATGCGTGATCTTTCCCCCGAATGGCCTGGCAGAGCGTGATGGACTTATCCGCAAAGAGATGGCTGAACTCCAGTACTGGCACGAACGTCTAGAGTAAGTGCTTACCTGAATCTACACTTTCATCGTTCCTATGATTCTTATCCTGACATACGATTATCTAGTGCACGAGAAGGGTTGGGGCCCAGTAGAGCAGGAGTGGTACCAAGAGAGGCTAGATGGATACATGTCGCAATATGCGAACCCAGATGCGGAGGCAGATGCGGAGCCATAGACGCATAAAATTAAGGGAAGTTCAAACCAGATGGAAATCCGGTGCTCCTCGATCCAAAATAAGTTCTACTATTGCTTTTTCCCATACTTTTCTACCTCAACAGTAAAATAAGGGTACCATATGCCCTAGACACTTTTCAGACAAGACTGACTATTTGTTGCTCATCTGTGATATTTGCTCCCTGGAGCAGCATGACCGTACACCCTCAGAGGTAGGTCGTGTTCCTTTGCAAAACGGAACTTGAGGTGATCAGCCTCACGGCCAGCGTCAAATGTATCCTCTTGAGCCGACCTTCTAGCTAGTACTTAAGTGCATTCGGTAAGACTGTCTTCCATTACGTCTGTTATGGTGTCCGATAAGCGTGTATTCCAGTCATGGGTCTCGGTCGAGCCTTGTTCTTGTCAAATCCCTTGAACCGACCTCGCGGTTCTTCTTGGGAAGGCACACTGTCGCCAGAGCGGGGCCTGCTAGACCAAAGATAGCCTTTATAGTTACCCTTCTGACCCATCCTCTAGCCTCGCCTTAGCACGCACGGCCAGTACACCTCAGACTTTGCGAATAATCCATTTAAGGGCTCCATTGAACCCGAGCCGACCTTTCCCTCTGGTTCTGTACATTGACAAGAAAGTCGGATCGCCTCTCTCGCTGACAATCTGCCTAAGGCACAACTGCATTGCTTGGGTATAGCCTGACAACAAATTGAAGTCGCGTCTTGGATGGCTTCCTCCAGGGATTTACGGTGGTTCACCCACCCTGGGTTGGCGATGAATTCCTCCCAACTCTATCCGCATTGATGGGAAGATTGAAGGGCAGCCGTCCACGAGATATAACCAGAATCACCAGGCATCAGATCGAGAACTTGGACGAATGTTAATGAGCTCCTCCCTCGCTGAAGCCCGCGCTCGAGGGCACCAATCAGAAACTGGTCATATTGCAAGACCTACCAAACATTAGCCAAGAATCCCAAACCCTATTCAATATAACTCATTACTATACCTTTTGGCTCTTCTTGAAAGGGCCCCTAGCCCCAGCTCTAAACTATCCCGCGGATCGGAACCAGGTCTTATTGACCGGCAAGAACATCCTCTGTACCAGTAGTATTGCCTGAGTACCCGGTGCTACGGCTTGAGCAATCGGGAAGATATGCTTCTTTCCTCGTTAGCCAGCTACAGCACAATTGTGATTAACAAGAAGATACTCCGCACCTCATTGTGAGCAAGACGAGGCATGCCACATCTGTCCGGGTGTAAAGCTCCACGAGGTCGCGGACACGGTGGGTTGCCATGTTGGGGGTCCAGTTTATGACGATGGCAGCTTGGACTGCGCCATTTCCTCCCACGAGCCATTCTCCTGAGTCTTCTCGAAGTTTGTTAAGGGATTCACTCCACCCACTCTCAATGGCAATTCTCGGTATGTATGTGTTTGGAATATCAATTGCTCGATTGGCTGTCTTTATCGTGTCAACAAATGGGCCATATGAATGAGAAGCTAGCAAAGAAGTGGAAATCTCAGGATGAAGTCGGTTGAAAGGGAAAGAGGATCAAGGCAATCTCAAGAATATAAGAGAAAAACCTATGATATTTTGGCTGTCTGTCTGTGAATGACATTGCAGTAGCCATTGGACCATGGCCAATCGGTTAAAGGATGAATTGGGCCATTCACTGAAGCGTTGCAGAATTGCTCTTATGTACGACCACTGACGTTGTAGGTGCATGCACTACAGTTTAAGAATATGCTCAGGATTTGCTATCACGGGTAACTCCGTACTGTACAGATTAAAAAGGCAGAAAAGTCTTAAGTCCAGGTTGAACGAAAGACGCGTTTGAACTGATCCGGTTATGTCATAAGTCTACTCCATTGTAATCACTAGGAGTAACTTTGGAACATTAGGTGAACGGGATACGGTAAATCCTAGAAGTCTCTATTGTGGTGCAGCTGTTGCATAAAAAAAATCTTTAGATATATTAGAGAGGACAGCCCCTGGCTTCATTGGTAATGCTTGGACTTCAATATGGCTAACAGTATATACAGAGACACTGAATGCAAGATATACTGGGGATCATGTATATAGAATATAGCTTGGGCAGCGAAGGTCAGGACAAAGTGAACGTACTTCATCAATCATCAGGCTACAATCTGCTTTCAGTCTTCTCATAATCTCTCTTCAGCTCCCGCACAGCGCAATCAAGCAAAAGCCGAGCATAGCCCCGATGAAGTCTCCCCGTCCACCCGGGAATAGTCTTCTGATGCTGCAGATCTCCTTCCTCAGGTACAATCTCGTAGTCATGAGCGGAAGCAAACCGCACCTCTACAAAGGGCCCCTGGCTCTCATCGTCTTTCACCCCATCAAATGGCTCCGAAACACTCAACTCATGGCGACCCCCCGACATCAACCGCCAGGGATATCCCCAGCGAGCAATGTTCTCAAAGAACCGACGGGGTTCATCCGACATACGCCAGGAAACCAGTAGCCCATCCCTGTCATCCTCCGACGGTGGCCGCTCCACAACCAGCACACCATTCAGGAGCGAACGGGGTTCCCCCGACGCATCAGGCGATGAAAATCCCGCAGGGGTATCGCCGGTGTCCCCTGGAGAAAACTTTCCTTTAGCCAGGAGGCCAACGAGACTCCCTTCTGCGCGGAGAATTTTGTTGCTTATGAACGCCCGAGCCCATGCACTAGTGATTTCGAAGTTTGTACTTTTGCGCTTATCAGGGACGTTGTCTATCCTATGCGCTCGGGACAGCAGTGCTTTGACCGGTACGCGAGCCGTGTAGACATCGGTATATGCACAAAACTGAGTTGAGGGATCCCGTGGAGTGCGAAGAGCGATGCTAGTTGTTGGTTCAGGTGGGAGAGGGGGATACTGCGCCTCGAGCGCGCTAAGGCCTCTGTGGATGCCGTATCCGATTGCCACAGGAGGGAGAGCGAGGATGAGTAGAAGACGTGTTCTAGATGGTGCTGCCATTATTGGCTGGAACTATGCAATAACGTTTTGCTGTATGGAATCGAGAGTCTTACCGACAGGCCGAGACAGTTGGATGTGAGATATCGAGTGGACCGGTCTTTTGTACTTTGGCCGTGCCCGACTGAAGGATCATGCCATACGAATCCGACTGGTCCCAACATTTTGGTTAGCTCTTCGGAGAATGATGGTCGAGAAGAAATATCATTTGTCAAGGCATTGTAGGTTATCGTCTTTTTGATCATTAGGGAAGTCTTCGCTCCGATAGTGGAAATATAGATGCTTTGGAGAAGTATTCTATACTATCGACTGATAGATGATGATTACGAGAACACAGTATCCCCAGATCTTAAGGAGCAATTAATACTCCTCTATCCAGCGAATGATCTGACAACTTAATGCGCAGTCTCTTCAATAAAAACCATCACAGAATGGTAGAAACTCATAGTTATGGCTCGATACTGGATAAGCTCATCTTATCTGGTGCATCCCCACCCGTCCCGAATATCGCTGTGTGCCTCAATTTTTTCTTCCCCGCACACCTAATTACAAGAAGAATACTTCATTAGAAGCAGACTCGCCGTGCAATTTTCATATCGCGGTATCTCAAAATATCAAAAGCCTACATCTTACCTTAGTCAAGACGAAACGATCGGCCCATAAGCTGAATCTCAACCCCGGTCTCCCCGCATCCTCCTGACGATGACCTCACCACAAGCCAATAACTCCCTCGACGACATCTTCGGCTCGTCCCCACCCCACGAGAACGAAAAAATCCCCCAACAACCATCCAGCCAAGCTCCCGAGCCCTCAGATCTCCCCTCTCTCCGCCGTCAACACGTCACAGCCGGCTACCGCGATGGCGTCTCCGCCGCGAAAGGCGAGCACGTCCAGCATGGCTTCGATGCCGGCTTCCCAATCGGCGCACAGCTAGGCATGAGAGCAGGGACAGTGATCGGGATTATCGAAGGCTTATTGCGCGGCTTTGAGAGTCGCACTGCGTCCAGAGCAGTAAAGAAGCCGCTTCAGCGGAAGGAAGAAGGGCAGGGGGCTGAGGCAGATGAAGCAGAAGCAGCACGGCAGGCGAAGAGGGAACAGCTGCTCAGATTGTACCAGAAAGCTGTGAAGGAGCTGGAGGTCCGGTCCGTATTTGCCGGGAGTGAGGAGGAGAGCATGCGAAACGAGGGGCAGGAGAAACCGGAGGTTGTCCTGCGCCGGAAAGGGGACGCCGTCATTTCGCAGTGGGAGGAGCAGGTCCGGGTGGCGCATTGGGAGGAGAATATGGCTGCCCTGGAGCCAAAGGAGGATGAACAGCGCGTGTCGGCATCTACGGAGCAGATATGAGATCGCCGCTGTCGTTATTATTCAACTCGAGGCCATTCCACTGCTTGCTTTGGACCGGACCAGGTTCATGCCGTGCTGCAGCAGGTTCCATGCTATCCACGGTTTCGCAAAATCGTGCTACAGAAGATACAGCAGCAGCTGTGATCGACCCTGCAGCGATGGCGGCTGCAAAGCCTGCAGCCTGCAGTTCCAGTCTCCCTGGCAGAACTGAAACCGATCGACCGGTCCGCATCGGCAGCGCAAGGCTTTTATGAGTATTGCAGCGGATGTCCATTCCAATGCATAAGCAGGAGGAAGCTCAGCACTATTCCTGCCCCGCGAAGGAACGTGGAGCAGTGATGCTTGAGATCAGTCAGACGTACACGCTAAGCTAAGCTCGCGAGAGACAGTTAAAGAAGTTAGACTAGTACTCAGCAGAAGGACAACTATTACAAGGTCCTCCTCTCATTGGGATGTACGTGAATAGGCGGCATACACGCTGTATATTACTTCCTGAAGACCGACTGTGGAACCCTTGCACCGGATTCGCCTCACCCGCACACCAATGCAAGACATAACCGAGACATTATTGAAGTAACTGTAGGTGCAGTTGCACCTGCACCTCCAACATCTAAAGCCAGTCGACCCAGCCCGCAGGGACGCTACTCTCCTTTCCACATAAGCTAGCCACAGCTATCTAGGAAGAGGAGATAGCAAATTATCCAGTACCCCGTACCACCAGCAGGTCTTAGGCGGTCCTAGCCAGCAAAGTAACGCTCCATTCCAAGGACCACTGTAGCGGATACAACAAGGGATGAGAAGGCTTGCGCCGGAGCGGCGGTGGCTGGACGTTACAGTTTGGCTAGACTACTAGAGCTACATCCTATTTGGATCAAGGGATGGAAACCAACCAAAGAGTGTAGACACTTTGCACTAGACGGAGGTCTGTTCGGTGGCCATTCTCATTCCTGGATACGTACGCGGGCTACACTTTGACCGCTGGGCGGGATTACCCCAGCATTCCGCTCCATCTTGGAAGACCTCCAGCGTTTTGTTTGTTTTGATTTTACCTGGTTGTTTGTGTTGAGTTTGTAATCTATGGGTACAGTTGGCTTGCGCCTTGTATCTTGGCTATGATTCTTGATTTGATGGAGTAACATAGAGAGAGAGACAGAGAGGGAAAAAGTCGGGGTATCCATAGCGAGGGATGACGTGATAAGCCGAAATGGACATATAGGAAAGTTTCCAAAGAACGTTGAGAGTGGAATCATCAGACACAAAGAAAACCAAAGAAAGACAGGTTGATAGCGGGTAGACGCAAAAGAAAGAACGAGCCAAGGCCCCAATGGTGATAACCAATCCCAAAACTCCGTCCGTTGCCTCATTAATCGTACATGAACCCGCTCAGGGCAGCTGTCGCTGCCTCTGCGGACATTATATCATATGGCAGACATATCAGGGGGTTGCGCCCCTGCTCATTAGGTCATTGGAGAGAGCTTCTCGCCCCGTGGTAGTGTTCATCGTCAGCATACGAACCAGGACAGCTCCTCCACTAGGAGTGTTCACGGCCGTAAAGTAGATCATAAGACATTAGTTCAAAAACACCCAACCGAATTCGCTGCAGCCAGCAAGAATCAATTACATCGACTTTCGTGGAAAGGACTTAGGAGGAGTTATGTCACCATGACAGCCAAGGAGACGCAATGACTCCCACACACGTTTGTAGAGGGGAGGGCGCGCAAGTGTCAGGCTGTGATGAATGGCCACATCAGATCGATCCTCGTGGCAGAAAGTACAGACCTTTTCCCTGTCAGTTACGCGCGAAGTGGCAAGCGAATCTGATCGCTGTTTGCGTCGGGATCTGGCCTGGATGGCAGCGGCAGCAGACCGGTCAAAGTCGTAGTTCCGAGGCTGATCCCGGTCCTGACCCCTGGTTTGGCTGCTGTTTCGGCGAGACCGAGGTGTTCGAGGTCTCGCAAGGGAGGTAGTCGACGGGTTGACGAGTCGCAGTGTCTGCAACGGTGACGGCCGAAAGACCTCACGACTTGACAAAGTCAACGGTGCCATGGATTTGACAGGTTCGGGAAATGGATCTCTGGGAGGATGATCAGGCATTGTTGGGAATTTCTCTAGGGGCGGATCTGTGGGCGCAGAGGCTGTGGAGTTCTGCAACTTGGGAGCGGACTTCGCAACACGGAGTTGCACCCGACTGCGGACTTTTTTCAGGGTGTCCATGGGCTTCTTCGACAGTGATCTCGGACCCAGGGACTCAGAATCAGAATCAGGCTCCCACACAGAATGCTCGAACGGGGCCTCGGAGGCTGAGGTCGACGGCCTCTGACTTCTCGAGGAGATGGGAGCCTCACTCGTCGTCGTTGGAGAGGGCGGGCCACGACTGGGTACAGGGCTGGGGCAATCGTTGGCAGGAATAAACATAGCTTGATCGAAATGGGTTGTGTGAGGCTCGAGAGTGACAGGGTTGATGAGACTGGGAGGGGAAATCATCGAGGGTTCAATTGAAGGTCGACGGCCGGAATTTGTGCTCCTCTTGCTGGGCACACCACTGCCGTGACGGGGATTGATAGGAAGAGAGGGGAGCGGTTTCCCGCGTCGGGCCGAGAGGTCCTGGCCCTCTGTTCGAGGCATTCTCAAAGTTTCCGCGGAACTTGTGAATTCAGTATTCCGCGCAGGTGTTGGCGGACGGTTGGACGAAGCTGGTCGTAGACCGACTGGTGGCTTAGAAGATGCTTGGTGGAACTTTTCCAGGGACTTTGAATATGTACTCTGGGCTGGCAACTGGACTGGCAGAACAGGGTACTCAGAGCCCTGCAGGCCACTGTCGGGGTAGATTGGGGAGGAGTAGTTTGACGAGAACGAGCTGCTCGGAGTCAAGTCGGGAGTTGCGTCGGTCTGTTCGGAGCTGAAAGAGCCCTGGCTCTCGTGCAAGGGGTGCTTTTCCCAACGTGGAACTGCAACTTGTGGTGGAATAGAGTATTGATGATCGAATCCAACGACGGTAATTGTCGATCGATCAGGTTGACTGGGACCACGAGTCCGCTTCGATTCGCCTCTTACAGATTTGGGAAACGTCGGTTCCTTCTGACTGTGATTCACGGAGGATAACATGAAATATTGATTGGACTCCTCGCAGAATCGGACATCGCGAATGTCCCGTCTGCCACGGCCCCAAGCACCCGACCTGCCCAGGGAGTGTTCGAGATAGAATGGATCCGGGTTGGTCTCGTCCACAATCTCTGGGCCGTGCTCAGGATAGAAGGACGAGGCCCGCTTCTTAGCAGAAGACGACGAGGGCAAGCGGAGTCCAGTGTAGGGTCTATTCCGGGCTTTCAATGAAGCGTTGAGGTCGCCGGGAAGGAAAGTATATGTGCCAGCCATGGGCTATGGTTGTAAGAGTTACAACAGATGCGACACTATGTTCTCAGCGATAGACGGGTATCATCGAGAATGCTTAACTGATGGTGAGCATCAAGCGTCGAAGTCGAGAACAGCAAAGAGACATTAAGAGAGTGTCTGCAATATCTCAGAGACTGGAAGGGGGCGAAGGGGGTATGTTTATACTACATGCCTCCCCAAAAATAACTTTTAATGGCTCCCCTCCAAGTTCCAGTACCAGACTACCAGTGAACTGGTGGCTAGGCCGGGGAGGAGTCCGAAAAGCGTCAGCGCATGCCAACGGAGTACGATAAACAAAGCTCAATGATCAGAGCGCACGGACTTTAACCACCTATCAGACCTTACATGGCCCGGTTCCCTTCCACAGGGATAAGAGGCGCTGCAAGGCGAAACGGCCACCCAGCCTGGAGCAAGGGAGCTACCGGAACCCGATCCGTAGGGCAGAAGGTGCGGGGCGATGCAAGTCAGACTTTACTCACGGCTCGTAGAAGTGCCAATGCACGGAATAATCATACAGTGTTATCAAAATTGCTTGAAGCTGACACCCAATTTGGTCGTTGCGGCAAACATTAAGCCGCTCGAGCGCCTTTCTCCAGATACAGGCATAGACGTCATGTACAAGCACGCTTGATTTTGTGCTTGTATGAGGTTCTACCGAATGCGGTCACTGGGTATGCGAATGCACCATGCCATGTCTGCAAAAGAGTAAACCCGCCGAGCAGCGGGTGTAGACATTCTACTGACATCATGCGCACAATAATTGGGTGCATCTGATACGATAGAAAGCTGGCATAGAACGAGTAGCGACGACCTGGTCAGTGGTGACAGATGATAGGTAAACGGGCCAGAAATTCTAGCCGGAGGTTGGAGTGTTTCGAATCCTCTGTGATGATTTTGCCTTGGTACCAGACAAAGAGAATGTGAGATATCAGATTCAGGATGAGTAGCGCTGGGGCATAGCCGCTAAACCTTGGCCCGAGTTCTGCTCGCTGCAATGGTGGCCGATCGTGTCGATCTCTCTCCACCAAGACTCTTCAGGAAGCAACAGTCATTAACTCATTATGGTTTCTGACGCCACATTTGCCTAGATAGGCTCGAAGGGAGAGTCAGACAGTGCCCTCATCGGGTCGGCCAGTAAGTCTCAGTCATCCCCAGCATTTGACCGCGCATGGTCTATGAAGTCTTAATGGCTGAATTGTTCAACCGGAGGTCTGTTATTCTGTACACTAGGCAATCGGCCTGTAGTCCCGCATTCCGGGTTCCCGGATGGTAATCTGCGTCTTATGTCGATCAGTCTCAGCAGATTCTCTGCTTTAGATCGCACCCTTCTCGCTGCATGGCCGCCCTTTTCCGTAGATACGTGTATGGTAGACTCGTATTGAAATGACGATGTAGGGGAGGGAGCTCTGTTGGAGATGACGCAGGCTTCCTAACGTTGCTGGTTTGGACGTGGTTGGAAAGTACAATTCCGGTGACCAGTAAAATTTCCTTCTATTGCGGCGTGATGCAGGAGGAGACGAAGATGATAGTGGTTAGAGATGGAAGATTGATCGAGTCAAGAACCTTGTCTTTATGACTGGTGTTGAGACTTGAAACTCTCGCGTAGGTAAAAGCACCACCCTCCTGCTACCCCACCGTCAGGACCGAGCTCTTTAACTAGTGATAATCCCAGATCCAGTCTCTCTAGAAAGCTCTCAGATGCATGAAGTTAATAACTCGATATGCTCGTGGTATCGTCCATCTCGATCTTCAGCAGTGATAAACAATAGCCCGAATGATTTGCAACGGGGACTCTGCGATGCATACTGAGCGGGGAAATGAAACACTGTTTAATCGACAATGACATCATGGAAAGTAAAATGTACGGAATAACTGAGCAAATCAGGACTAACGAAGAATTCGATAATCCTGCGAAAGTACGAGGGATGGATGGATGGATGGGTGGAAAGAAGACAAGATTAGGAGAGGGCGTCGGGGAAGCAACAAGGTCGCATAACCTGCATTCCGGTGGCGCAGGGAAATGGTTCCTAGAATCTGGGCCTCAACTCTCGAGCCCAGCAATCATGAAAATAAATACCAAGTACTTTATTCTATGGCTGTGCTATGTACTTTGGTCTATCTATGGATGTAACGCTGAAACATCCTGGTTTTGTGCACAGCTGCATTTTGGTAATATGTGAATTGTGCAACTCACGTATCTCCCGGGGTTTCATCTCTTCTACTTCGGTCTTTTTCCTCCTTTACGGAAATTGAATCTTGCAAACTTCGAGAGCGTTCAGGCATCACTCGTTGATAGGTGCAATTTGGACCTGGTCCTTTTGCCATGTCAATGCCACTCTCATTGATTTCCAGGAACCCGACGCCCTGGAAGCCGAGGGGTAGGATATTGTTGATCCATATCATATTTTGCGATAATCTAGAATTTCCACTAGGCCTGGAATCAGTCCCGTCGGGATTCACAATCTGCCTGATCAATATTCCGAAATGAATGCTGCATGCTGTTGGTGAGCCATGCATCGATCGACGTGAGAGGAATGACGCAGAGCCCGTGGAATCAATGAGGCACAGTTTCCACAGAGCCATATGATAAGCGTAAGTGCCGAGGCGCAGGTACACCATTAGAAATCGCAGTCATAAGTCAAGCATACCAGTAAGGAAGAGTCGATAATTCTGAGACCACGGATGGGTTGGGTTCCAGAACTCGAAGGCTTGATATTCTCCGATTCGTACGGTCGCCCTTGCTGGATTTCTTCGGCTTATCTGGTATATATCTCGAAGATCCTTATTTGCATCTTCAGACTATGAAGCGAGTTTCCTGTGTTGCAGTGCCATCACCATAGAGATGTTGGAGGCAGTGAGCCATGCATATTTTTCATTTCTTTTGTCTCTGACGGTCATTGAGAATTGTCTGTCAAGCCCATCAGAGAGATCATCCCTATGTGACGATTGATGCAGGGTTTGATTATCTCCAGACAGCCGCCTCGTGAGAGCCTGGAATAATAATGATCGTCGATGTATTGCCGGGTACTCTGTATATTCAGAGCCCAAGATTTCGAGTGGTCAACCGACTAAGCAGATCCAGCCCATTGGAATCGGTTACAACCATAGACCAACGATCAAGGGTTCGTTTCCAGCAATAAGGTAGACCAAGGAGGGACTGATCCGGGTACCATGGACGCAATTATTGAATCTAGGGAGCGACACCTTGCTGCTGCTGCTGGCTCCTGATGCCATGAGAGTATCAATACTCGAGCACACTGAAATTCAAATCAAGTCATCGGGACAGTCATCAAGATTTGAATTAACTGGCAACGAGAAAGGACCGCAAATCTGGTCCCTTTGACAGGTTGCCAACGCATCGCCAATGCAGCACTGACGCAGTGATGCTTTGCGAGCGGGAACCAAGAATTAGTATGAGACTGCTGTCAAGCGACCATGAGAAATTAGGAATAGCGACAACTAGCGATTTCTTGCTTTCCAGGTTGGTGGAAATAGATCCTCCACAGACCCCATTGTTCTCGATTTTGAACTTCCCCAGATGGTTGACCTTAAGATCGACTTGCTAGAAATCGACTTGCTAGAAATCGACTGGAACCGAAGGTCGCAAATCCACAAAGTGCGAGTCAGATTGTTACACCACCGCAGTATCTCAATCGGATGCTAAGAGGACTTGACGGAATCAGAACACCGTTTCTTTTGCTTGTCCTGTAAGAAATCTTATATATAACCTGCAAAGAACTTCTTTGTGGATAAGCCTTCCTTGACGTTCTTCCCGGGATATCATGGATCATAGTGAAAAATATCAGTGGTCTAGAAGTCGGCAGAAGGCCATGTCCCCGTCTTATCTATAAACGTAGGTTTATGTCATAAAAAAGGATACCTGGAGAAGAGTGAATTGGCCCAATTGATCTCCATCGAATCAGTGTTGGCGCCAGTCAGCGGTTGTTGGCCCTCGGAAAGTCCCTCGACTTTTCTTCCCCCGGCCGCCGACATCGTGTCTTCTCGGACAACTGTGCAGCTCTCTACTACACACTTGGACAATCTTCCAGCAGCCATTGAGCTCTGTCGCTCAACTCCATGACGCCTACGAGCCATTTCCAGATGCTCGTGGCGGTCTGGTAGTGCGCTGACCCGAGCTCTGAGGTGCGTTTTTGCGTTGTTCGTGGGTTTCCTTGTTCCATCCTCCTGCAGCTTGTATTTTCCCAGCCATCCCATTTAATAATCCTTTACAGCTGTATTTCCCACTTAGACCGCACCACACACACCCCCATTTGACCAGCCACAGTGTCTCCTAGCTCCTTCTTTCTGGGATGCTGCTATCTTCTCTTACCCAATGCTTATACCTGTCTCCATTTTTTATCCACATTCTTCCTCGGTGAAGTCGCTCACCATCTCCTACTCAGAGGCGGGTTCAAGGTGTTTGCTGGAAAAAAGAGGCCCTCCGACAAGCGGAATCTCCACTGAGCTGCCCTGCACCGCTGACGTCGGCGAGCTCAGACTCGCATTTCGTGTTTGCTGAGAATCGAGTCGCAATACCCTCACGTTGTCATCGCATCCCTCTCCACGTCCCCCACAGCAATTCTCAACAGTGTATCACCACACCCACGGCCCAATTGACGAGACCTACGAAGTTCACGACCCATCAGAGTTTACGACCGTTCCACGGCAACGCCAGCAGCAGGCTGCTGCTCCTAACCCTGCGCTTGATTCCTTCCTAGAGCCATTAGCCCGCCCCTCTAGTGCTTCGGGAAGTCCCCGTTCTTTACGCAGAACACCTCGTCTCCATCACCGACGAGCTGCTTCAGTAGATGTTTCGGGACGATACCACCAAATAGAGCAGACGATTCCTGTCTTGGTACAACCTGCCTCCGGCCAAGACCGCGCCCGGAACCCTACTCTACGTCCTGCGATCTCGGAAGCACGAACTGACGACGCGGAAGAGTACGATTCCGAAGCCTACGAAGAGCGTTCCAGACGAGCCGGCGAATCCTTTTGGCCCCGTCGGTCGACCCACGTCTCTCCACGAACGGCCTCTGCGATCCTCTGGACTCTCGAAGAAGCGATTCGCAAACCCTTTCCTTTCACCACAGATTGGGAGGAAGTGAACGCGTCGATGGCTGATCTTGCGGGTGCCACGGTCTCGTCCGGACCTGCAGTTAGCGGCCGTACTCAGAATGGTGCCACGCGCACCGCTCAGGGACCAGTTCCGGTCAACCCTCACCCCCCAAGCGGTGTTCGGACACCAACCGATATCATGAGACAGCGTCGGGATCGTGAGGCCCGGAAGAAGGCAGAACAAGAGGCAAGGGCTCGGGAGCAGGAGGAAGCAGAGCGCAGGCATCAGGAGGAGCAAGCCAAGCAGGCTCAACAGGCTCAGTCTTATGCTGCTGGCGTTGCCGGTGAAAAGGCCGGACAGCGGGGTGCAGCTCCCAGAACAACCGCAGCGCCCGGTATGACAACCAATACTTCTGGAATGGCCCGCCGCGCCGACTCCCAGATACCCAGGCAACCTGTACCTCCCGCCCAGCAAGTTCCTGGCGCTCAACAGCCGGCTGCTGCGAAAGGTGCTGCTCCGCCCAGTACATTCGCCAAACCACAAGGACAGGCACCTCCAGCTAGCCAATCGGACAATTTACAGAATCAGCAACAGCCACGTCGCGTTGGATTTCCGCATGCCTTTGAGCGGTGGGAAACCTTGTCTTCGCACTGGGAGGGTCTGACGAGCTACTGGATTCGGAAGCTCGAGCAAAACAACGAAGCGTTGGAGCGCGACCCGCTCAGCCAGCAGATGGCCCGTCAGGTCACCGATCTCTCCGCGGCCGGTGCCAACCTCTTCCATGCGGTTGTGGAATTGCAGCGCTTGCGTGCATCCTCGGAAAGGAAATTTCAGCGCTGGTTCTTTGACACGCGCGCGGAACAGGAGAGAGCCAAGGAGCTACAAGCCGAGCTCGAGAAGCAGCTCAAGAACGAGCGGCAAGCCCGCGCCGAAGCCGTCGCCTCTCTACAAAAGGCCGAGATCGATAAGACTCGTGCTGAGGAGTTGCTCAGGGAAATGCGACGAGAGCTGCAGATTTCCAAGGAAGAAGCCCGCCGAGCTTGGGAGGAACTGGGCCGCCGTGAGCAGGAAGAACGTGACCGCACCAACTCGCTCAGAAACGGAGAGCCGACGCTTGTGGGAGGCGTGCAAGTTGTCCCTATGATTCAAGGCCTCTCCAGTCGACAGACCGCTATGAGCCGCACTTCTGCCCGGGAAAGCCCATACTCTACCGGCGAAAATCTCGGGAAACCGGAGGGCCAGTACTACGACGAGGCGCCCGTGTCTCCAGTTGAGACCGACCCATTCACCGAAGGAAAGGATCTTGCTCCTCGCCAACCTGCAACTACGGCAGCAGACTCACAGGAGCCGTACGCCAGCCACTACTACCCGCAGCAAGGATCGAATATGTATGGAGGCCGACCAGCTTCTGCGAATGATGATCGCTCGTACGACCCTAGTGTTGCAAGCAGCGAGCAAGGAGACGAAGAATATGGCAGCTATCGTCGCGCTCAAGGCCGTCCGCTCGAGTATCCTCCTGCCATGTCGGAAGAGAGCGAGGAGTACGAGCATGAACCTCATGAGGAGAGCTACGCATCGAGTTCCCTCCCAGCATCCTCGGCGCCTCTGTACACACCAACCACTGTCGATTACACCGGTTCCGGTTGGGGTGTCGGAGCGGGCTGGGAATCGATGACTCCTCGTCACCGCCATCCCACGCGCCTCAGCGATGTTCTTGAAGAGGATGAACCGCGGACCACACCTAGTCGAGCCAGTCGGGCCAGTCGGGCCAGCCAGGCTAGCCGGAGTGTGCAGTAATATGTCCTCGCGATACTAAATTCCACGACACGACCTCCTTTTCTACTCAAGCGTACATATTGCGAGCTTCCATCGCAAAAGTGTCATGCTCCATTTCACATCTTGTTACTCACGTTTCGTTCTTTCGTCCGATAAGAGAATACCTGGTTCGTTTGACGCTGCTTATCTCGCATGTTTTTCTGTTTGACTACTTTCTCATCACCATTGTTCAACTAGAAGGTCTACATCGGGCAGTTATGTAATTTTAAAATAACGAGATTGATGACCATAGTTTGAAAAATAATAATCGCAGAGCAGCAATTAATTGAACTATCACGTGACTTGGTTAATGACAGCCTCAGGCAGCAACGCTAAACCGCACTTGGCGCTATCCGTACTGAGCGCGCATCAGACAATAAGCATTAACCTCCGAACAAAACTTCTAATCCCAGTACACTCCACACCACTCGCAAAACACACCATGGCCTCATCGGTACGACCGGTTTCCCGCATTCTAGGCCGGCTAAGCCGGTCCGGCATCTCGACCCTCCAGTCCAGCGCCCGCATCCCAACACAGAGAACACCCGCCCTGCTCTCCCGAAGCGTCCTCACAGCGCCGAAGCCAAATGCAATTGCACCTGGCTCCTCGCAGCAGCGAGGATTCTCGACCTCTCCGGCTTGTCTCCGCGCCAAGACGATGGGCCAGCTGCGCGCGCGGAACGCAACAGGTCCGTTCTCGTGGAAGGCGGCGCTGCTGTTCGTGCTGACGGGCGCGGGGATGATCGTTTATTTCCGGGTAGAGAAGGAGCGGTTGGAGCGGAAGCGGATTGCGGAGATGAGCAAGGGGGTTGGACGGCCGAAGGTTGGCGGCCCGTTTACGCTGATGGATTTGGATGGGAAGGAGTTTACGGCGGAGGATTTGAAGGGGAAGTATAGTTTTGTATGTGGTCCTCCTCATTTTCTTTGCTTGGGATGAAAGGGTGGTACTAATGGCTGACGTGGCAGGTGTATTTTGGTTTCACGCACTGTCCTGATATCTGCCCCGATGAGCTGGATAAGATGGCCGAGATTATTGATCGGGTCAAGGAGGCGACGAAGGGCGAAAATATCTTCCTGCCGGTGTTTATTACGTGTGATCCTGCGCGCGACACGCCCCAGGTTCTGCGGGAGTATCTGAAGGAGTTCCATCCGGATATTATTGGCTTGACGGGCACGTATGAGCAGGTGAAGCATGTGTGCAAGCAGTACCGGGTGTATTTCAGTACGCCCAAGGATGTGAAGCCTGGGGAGGATTATCTGGTGGACCACAGTATATACTTTTATCTGATGGGTGAGTTTCTCTTTTCCTCACGTCAAGTGAAAACTGCTAATGAGATGCAGATCCCGATAATGATTTCGTCGAGTGCATTGGCCGGCAGGATACGCCCGAGTCGGCATCGAAGTTGATTCTTCAGCATATCAATGACTGGAAGAGAGAGGGAAAGCCCTTGAAGCGGGATTGATCTATCGTATCTTCGTTGCTGCGCTGCGCTGTACAAAACTAGACTGAGCTTGACCTGTACCTGTACATTAGACCTGACCTCATAAATCCACATCTCTATCTTCCCCCCTCAGCCGAAGATAATAACCTCCCCTCCGCATCCCTCTCCCTATTCTCCCTCCACTCCATCCCCCCATCCACAAACTCCTCCCTCTTCCAAATCTCAACCTTCTCTTTCACCTCCTCCAGCACCTCCTCGCCCGCCTTCCACGCCATCCCCCGATGCCCCGCACTAACTGCAACCACAATCGACGCCTCCGAGATCGGAACAACACCCAGCCGATGCGCAATATACACACCCTTTAGATCGAACTTCTCCGCCGCCCTAGTAGCGATTGACATGAGCGATTTGAGCGCGAGAGGCGGGTACGAAGTGTAGCTGAGCTGGGAGACGGCGCGGCCTTCGAAGCTGTTGCGTGTTGTGCCGAGGAAGAGGACGTTGGCGCCTGCTGCTGGGGAGGAGGTGTGTTCAAGTGCGAGGGTGGGGTTCAGTGTCGAATAGGTGAGTTCAAGATGGATGTTGTGGGTTGCGGAGGTGAGAGTTCGTGGGTAGGTGGTTGGGTCGAGGTGTGGGGGGAGTGAGGGGGTGGTTGATCTTTGGTCTTGAGGCGGTTGTGTTGCCATTGTTTGTATGTCGTTGCGTTTGGTGGTGGTTTGTGGTTGGTATGAACTGTATGGAGATTGGGATGAAGGTGAAGGTGAAGGAGAAATGAAGTTTGTCACTCCGTAGATCAAGGAAGCTGGATATGCTTATCGCTTATCAGTGCGGGGAAGCATTTGCAAATCACAACGGCTATTTTGGACTGAGTCGACTGACAACATTCGAGACTTTCGAGAATAGAAGCGTGGTCTGCACGTAGTGTTCATATCATAAGTCTAATTCTACTCTGGTCTATCGAATGGTCGACCATCACTTGCTGTTTATAAAGCCGCATCACAAATCCCGTTACTCCTGCACAAGTACCGCAACCGCTTCATACGGTTGAAGAGACCACTTCTCTGCAGCAAATCTCGGTGACGCTTTCTTTGCCTCTTCATAGGTGTTGAGCAGCACCTCCTTTACGCCCTTGATGCCATTGGCAGCAGGATTCCACTCCAGCGTCTTGTCTGTGAAGTTGCCCACAACTAGCGCTTTCTGATCCTCATATTGTCGAGTATACGCGAAGACCTCCTGGCTATCGCGGTCCACCATTTCGAAGTTGCCGTACACGAATATATCCAGATATTTCTTGCGAAGGCCCAAAACAGACGCCCAGTAGTGGTACGTCGAGTTCGGATCGTTGACCTCTGCTTCGGCGTTGATGCGCACATAGTCCGGATTGACTGACATCCAGGGCTTCACATTTGGCCCTGTGAAGCCTCCATTTGGTGCTGAGCTCCATTGAACTGGCGTGCGCGCGTTGTCTCGTGATTTTTTCTGGTACTCCTGTTTGGCGATCTGCTGCGCTTTAGTGTCGAATTGCTTGGTTTTTAGCAGTCTGCGTGTGTCAGTCATATTCATGAGTAGGTACGGTGAGTACATACTCATGCCAATGGTTGAGGCAGTCAATATCCTTGTACTCCTCGATTCCCCATTCCACTGGCACGTTTCTCATGCCTAGTTCTTGGCCCTGGTAGATGAACGGCGTACCAGCTTGTAGCGTTAGGATGGTAGCCAGGAGCTTGGAGGCTACCAGGCGGTGCTCCTCCTTTGCCTGGGTGTATCGATCAATCGACCGCGGCTGATCATGGTTTTCCCAATACAGAGCATTCCACCCATCGTTCTCATACATGAACTTCTCCCATCTCTCGAAGAAGGCCTTCAAATCAGTAAGCTTCCAGCTTCCGGGCACGAACTTGTCGAATTCTCCGTGGTCGATATCCACATGCTCAAAGTTGAAGATCATGTTGATCTCGTTGCGGTCGAAACGGACAGCCTTCAGAACCTCCTCCGTGTCTTTGACGAAAGGCATCTCCCCTACACTGAAAGCGTCATATTCTTTGAGAATCTGGCCCAGACCCTGTAGGTACTCGTGTAGGCGAGGCCCGTTGGCGTAGTATTTGTCGGCCCATTGCCAGATACTCCGGGGATCTTTGACATCGGCCTCAGGGAAGCTCTGGTCTTTGCTGATAAAGTTGATCACGTCCATCCGGAATCCGTCCGCTCCTTTGTCCAGCCAAAACCGCATAATGTCGTGGACTGCCTCGCGCACAGGTGGGTGCTCCCAGTTGAGATCAGGCTGCTCCTTGGCATACAGATGAAGGTAGTATTCATCCGTGAGTTCATCGTACTGCCAAGCGCTTCCTGCTTCTGTCAATATTCGAGTGCGCTTGCTCAGCCAATCGAGCATACCTTGAAAATGAGAGATCCAGTTGTTTGGCGGATGACGCTTGCCCTGCTCATCGTACCTTGGCGGCTTCCATATGTACCAGTTGCGATACGGATTATCCTTCGAACTGCGCGATTTCTTGAACCATTCATGCTGGTCACTCGTATGGTTAACCACCAGGTCCATCAGAAGCTTCATTCCTCGCTTGTGGCACCCCTCTATTAGCTTCTCCACATCCGCGACCGTACCGTACTCGTCTGCGATGCTATAGTAATCGGAAATATCATAGCCCATATCCACCTGAGGCGATTTGTAGGACGGACACAGCCAGACGATATCTACTCCCAGGTTTTTGATATAGTCGAGCTTGGAAATGATGCCGGGAATATCCCCAATGCCGTCATCGTTGGAATCTTTGAAGGAAGCTGGGTAGATCTGATAGACGGAGCACTCCTTCCACCAAGCACGGTGGATCTCGCTGCTGGGTTTGGCCATCTCGCAGCACACAGCGGTCTTGCTTCCGTGGACGTCGAGAACTCCTAGTTCTTTTACAATTGTTCTCGGGAGGAGGGATTGCTCAGTCTAATAAAGCATTGGCGTTCACCGCGGGGCAAACAGCGATCGCTGATGCGGAGAAATTCTCGGTGGGTTTCTCGCTGCACCAACCAGTATTTATGGGAATGGATCCCAACGAGGTACATTATAGGAAGGCTAAATAGGGAAATTATGGGTCGTACATGCTGATCGAATGATGATGCGACACGGAGACCTGATCCGGTGAGACCCTGCAAATCACCTGTTGTTAGCTTTAGCCATTGAAAGATCAAGGAGGGGTTTCCTGCATACTTCATATACTTATACTGAGCCTGAGATTGAAAAGCGTCGAGAGATAGTTGAAGTCTTTGGGAGCATTCCCATTTTCATCTATATCCGCGATCGTTTTCATGACCGAACCCGTCCAGTTGTATATGCTTGGGGGGGGCACAATATCTCACCGGGCGACTATCCTTGTCCTGTTGGTTCTATATTGGAGGAAATCATTGGAGCCCTGTTGCAAGTTAAGGACTTAAGGCCTTGTGTCAGCATCCGTATCCATTTGTGCCACCTTATACCGTTCAACGTCTGAGGAAAGTAGTCGTCCCACAGCTTGAATCGGCCATAGCGTTGGAAGTATTTCTCAGAAGGAGTAATAAAGCGGGTGAGGCACTTGTAGCGAATCTGAAGCTTTTCAGACAGACAAGAGAAGTCAAAATAAGTGCGAATACAAGACCAGTCCATGGCCAGGCGCATCTCCTCAAGGTTGGAGCTCCGGGTCTCACATCTTCTGATTCGATATTACGTCACAGTAGTAAACAAACAAGTACGGGAAAAGTAAAAGTAGTTGGTATACCTGTCTCCCAAGCATACTGAGGTTGACTCAGAATCTGTCGTGGGAAATAGAGTGGAATCCGAAGCTTGGTGATGCTTCACTGATCCTCATCTGCTCAATGTTTTTGTCTGTTCCACGTGCTTCGACACGCTTGCAAAACAGGCCAGAGCATCTCGTCTAGGGTATATCACTTCTCTGTCAACAGAATGCTTGTCTCGTCTCTATTATAGGTCCTCTGTGGGATACCACCAGCCCAACTACCATCATTGCCTCAACTGCGCATATGTGCTTCTACTACTGTGGACGTCTGTCTACCCTCTGCAATATACCCAACGGGTTACTGCTGACGCCATTTGTACTGACACGGTTCTCTCTCAACAGCCGATTTACCTCTAAACCCATCCTTCGCCGACGCTGACTCCTTCCCGGCTCCCAAACTCGCGTGCAGCAAACTTGACTCGTAAATGAACCTTATGCATGGGATGTAAACACACCGGTTTTATAGGGAGTTGTTTTTCCTGTTTGCTTTAGGAAACCAACATTGAGTCCGTATGCTTCAACATTGACAGGTTGAGGTTATCGTTCATCTGTAACAGGATCCATGATAGATTGTAATGGGTACACAATGCTACTCATGTCCATAATCAACCCATGCATAAGTTGCTGGATACTCAGACGACAGTGGTTGAGTGATGATTCGATTCGAGCTCGTAGTCTGTCTCGTTGGAGGTCTTCTGTCTAGTTCTTTTTAGACATTATCCAGCATATTGTCGGTTAATTTCGGTATGTATTACCTTTAGGCTCTATGGTGATCGTATTGTAGTAGGTCCTTAAGACGTAAAGCGGAATATATATCAGACTAAATGAAATCGACTTGGACTATACCTGCAGGATTGAGCCTGCCCTCGATTTAAACCCGGACGTTATGTGTCAAATATATTGCTATCCGTCCCTTTCACATGCTTCTAGACTATATTTTGGTGCATTGCATGCGCCTAAGATGCCAGGATCAGCACAGCCCATCATGGGTCTCACTGGTATGAGCACTGACCCACTGACCTTGTCAGGGAAGCTCAGATCACTACAAGAACCCCTCTAGTCCTATTGCAAGGTATTTCATCATATAATTTACTTGATTGACGAAAATCCTATTTCTGCAGAGACATAACCTTACTATGTATCCTTCTACATTTCTTGCCAGTTGGGCCTATGCCCTACTTCTTTTAGTGTCCCCGGGGCACGCTGACGCAACAACCAATTTCCAAAGGTGCGATCAGCGAGAGACTTCTCGCATATGATGTAATGCACAAAACTAACATAAATGCAGCCAAAACGACCGTTCTGGAGGATGTACTCAACCCCCTCCCAACAGTTGCGACTTCTACAAGCAATGCCTCGAGTCTCGATACCACTGTGGACCAGCTGGCTATCCGATTGGATTCGGCCAGAAATTCTGTGAGAAGTCTCTTGTCTGGAGACCCAAGATGAGCACGTCCGGTCAAGAATGGATCACCAAGACGATGCTCTGCCTGCAAGAGGAACTAGTCCCCCTCGCCATTGGTTCAGAGTCGCAGACCTGCAGTGAGCTGAAGCAGCACGCCCTCGGCACACACGCCGAATGCTACGTGAGAAGTGGTGTCTGCACTTTGCCGATTGAGGATTGGGGGAAGATCCTAGAGATTGTCGGTCCGGCTTTGATCTCTGCACCGGAGAACTTCAAGTCTGCGTTTGAGACAGCTGGAGATTGCCTGAAGCTGTATTTCTGGTTATTGGGCAAGGTTTTCCACGGCTCTACGTCTTCTCTAGATTGAGATGGATTTTCACAGTCTGCTGTGGGTGCACGCATTCAAGATTGGGAGGGATGGGTCGGATCCCCGCAACCAGTAGACCTGGCATATATTTGATGTGTACAATAATGAGAAGATTTCCCACGAAGCTGAGGCATAGCAGCAGTACATAATATGCCGATGGGCCCTTGACAATGAATGTCATACTTGTTTGATGTGCCTTGTCCGTTTTATCTGCAGTCCGACGATGCAATCTGAATACTAAAGCGTGTCCTACTAGAGGATCTTGTGTCAAATAGATTGCGCCTTAAACTCTGCGATCGCTCACGTAGCATGAGAGATAAACTGGATGTATTCCTTTCCAATGTTGGCCTTGAGATGGCCTCCAACTCCGTGCCTCGATGAAGGATCGACATTGTCCGGCCTTCTTCGGCGTACACTCAACACCGCAAACCCTTCCATGTCAGTTATCAGGCTATCCACCACTCGATTGAGTGCAATCGTCGTTCTCTCCATAAACGAGAATTGCCCCAAGCTCCTGAGACTCAACGGCTATCCGGTCCACGCGCCCGTTAACGCCCCCCGTATAGGTAAAGCCGTAGCGCGTGGGAAAAAAAATAGAAGCCATGTTCTTCACTTCCGGAGCACACTGAAATCCACTGCTTGTACGATTAAGTAGTTCGAGAACATGTTGGAGAGCTCAACCTATGCAGACCAATATCCCATCATTAGCCGCTAATTTCAAGTCAATGTGGAAGACCTAGTCACTTACGCGATGTACCCTTCGTGCTTCATGTCCATTGTGACGCGATAGGAGGTAATTGTAGCAAAAAGGCTATTACTGTCAGACAGTCAGGCGGTCGAGAAAAGTACTCTTGGTGCCTATTGCTCTTCGACGTGGTCTGCTCTGTTTTGACAAGGTTTTTGATAGATCACGGGTCTGGCCAAAAGTCAGCCCCGAAGTATCAGCCGATGCGAAAGCACTCCGAACGGAAGCAGATCCATGTCTGAAGTTCCTTTCGTACTCTCATGAAGATTGACCATAGCTGCATGGAGTGTATTGTTGTGCGCGTGTCTTGAACGTTCCTATTCGGTTTCCCTCTATTAAGTTAGTATTCATGATCAGGGCCCGAATAGCATGAAGGACGTTTGCAGCATCCATGGCTTACCTCCATAGTCATGTAAATATCCGGGATTAGATCAGTAAATCGACGACGGACAGCACTATAGAGCGAAGACAGTGGCTCCCCAAGCTCAAAAAGAATAACAGCATTGCAAAAGATGAAGCAGACTGATTCTCGAGCATACCATGAAAGCCACACATAATGCATAAGCGTTGATAATAAAGATATATTCTTTGGGATTTGAAGCCTCTATGACCTAAATCTCTTGCGGAATGCTTTAATCTCAGTCTGTAGCCTCCATATCAACATTTTGAAGACGATAGTGTAGTATAATAGCATTATGTTCTCTGCTTGACTTGAAAAGCCTTTCATTTCTAGCCAAAACCTTATATATGGTTGCTCCCTATATATTATGCTCATATACAGATCAATCAAGACAAACCCTGCAGCATATGCACAGCTCGTCATGACGCATAACATATCTACTCTTTGATCTTTTCCACCTTCATGTCCTGTGCTGTCTCACACATCGACTATCTCCTGCTAATGACGACAGCACCATTCACAGTCGAGATTCGCTTCTGTGGATATAACCTTTCCGAACCGCCTGATGTCCAGAACCTGTTTCTTGAGATGGGTCGGCCGGGTGGTCTGAGTCAAATCAACGGAGTATTCCATGAGTATATTCACGGTACACCCCATATAGAAGGCTCTCGCACTGAGAAGAACGGGGAAGAGCCGTCATTGTCTCCTCTAGGAAGCATATCATTCACGTACAACGCTTCTCTAGGAATAGCGCCACCGTCATCGACCTCTCCAGAAGTGACGCGACAGGAATATTTGCATTGGATATTCACGACTCCAGAAGATTAAGCGAGATAGCTGATATAACGCACTCTTTAGCGACAAGATCTCAAGTATAAATTCTTCCCTTCTTCTCCTGCTTCTGCTCCTCTTTCTCTCTTTCCCTCCTCACCCTTCTTCGCATCGATCTTCTTCTCTTCCTTGTTAGAATCTTCTGACTCTCATCGATCAACAACATCTTCGTCCATACATCCCTTCTTGTGACGACTTGTCAAGCTTCAGTCACAATGAAGTTCTCCACTCTCGCGCTCGGCGTGTTTGCTGGCATGGCAGCTTCTGCTGCTATACCTGCTTCCATCGTCGATGGCATGAACCTCTCTGACAATGGTCTTGGTACGTTCTTACCTCCTGTGTTTTGTCTTAGCCCACTTGAGTTCCTTTCCTCTTCTTCCCAACCTTCCAAACAATCGTCTCATCCTACTAACACCTCTTCTCCTTCAATATCAATAGGCCTTGTCAACGCTGGTGACCCTGTTTGCCACAAAAATTCTGACTGCGGTCCCGGCATTGGGTACTGTTACAAGGGCATCTGTGTTGCCGACCCTCCCAAGGTCGAACGCGGCGATCCCATCTGCCACAGGAACTCCGACTGTGGTCCTGGTGTGGGCTACTGCTACAAGGGCATCTGTGTTGCCGACCCTCCCAAGGTCGAACGCGGCGATCCTGTCTGCCACAAGAACTCTGACTGCGGCCCTGGCGTTGGCTACTGCTACAAAGGAATCTGTGTTGCCGACCCCCCCAAGCTCACTCGAGATGATGCTTCTATCGTTACTTGCCATTCTAACAAAGATTGCTTCAACGGTCTTTGCATTGCTGGTATTTGCCATTGGGGCACTGGAGAGGGTCCCGCCTCAAACACTGCGAACAAGAATTCTGCCTCCCTTGTTCAGACTTCTGAATCTGCGGATCCCGTTTGCCACAAGGACTCTGACTGCGGTCCTGGCATTGGTTACTGCTATCATGGCATTTGTCTTGCGGAACCTCCCAAGCTTACCTCTCGTGACGACCCCATCTGCCACAAGAACTCTGACTGCGGTCCAGGTGTTGGTTACTGTTACCATGGTATCTGTGTCGCTGACCCTCCCAAGGTTGCTCGTGAAGTGTCGGCCGACCCTGTCTGCCACAAGGATTCCGATTGTGGCCCTGGTGTTGGCTACTGTTACCATGGCATCTGTGTCGCTGACCCTCCCATGTTTGCCCGTGATGAACAGACTGATCCCGTCTGCCACAAGAACTCCGACTGTGGTCCCGGTGTGGGTTACTGCTATCATGGCATCTGTGTCGCTGATCCTCCCGTTGTTCCTCGCGGCGAAGAAGCCGATCCTGTGTGCCACAAGAACTCCGATTGCGGTCCAGGCGTTGGCTACTGCTACCATGGCATTTGCCTTGCTGAGCCTCCCAAGTGAGGAGTTTTGTCAGCTCGCTGAAAACAAGTGGTTGTTGCTGGTGAGCTTTCTTCTCTTCTCTGACATGGTGACAGTCCTGCTAACATGGTTGTGCAGATGCAATGAACTTACCTTGTCACTTTTGTGTTTTCGACATCGACACAGTGCTTCTCCCCCGGCTTTTCACTCATTGTTAACATCGCTCGGTGGATGACTGGATCGTCTTTGGTGGCTTGATGTTCTATGGGTCGTTGAATTTGGGGGATGAAGATGATTGTTTACTGGCTTTACACTTTGTCACAGTCTACTTCGGCCTTCTGAAAGTAGATTAATGAATTTATGACCTTATCTTCCACGTTTTACTTCCTTGTGCTCTCAGTAGATTGTAGTATGACCTTATACTTGGTCGAGTCTGCCTGTGCGTGGGCGCTTCAACGGAAGCATGAGACCAACGTCAGCATGCGTTGCTTGCTTTGGTCCTTGATTTTATCCACACATTCACGCCTACCCCTATGTCAGGACTTGTAAAGTTTAGCTCTTTTTTCGCTAACTCGCTCTCTGGGACTTTCGCCGACGAGAGACTGCAAAGTCTGCCTCGGCTTTTAATCGGTCGCAATCTATCAGCCCACTTTGCATCAACCAACTCGTCATTATCGACCTAGCATACTTCTTTGAAATGCAGAGTCATTGTATCATTTCTTGGTCCCTCGAAGAGCACAGACTCTTTTCATTATGGAAGTTATGACCGCAGACTCTCTAAGTGTCATTCGGATTCCTAGTCTTCGATTCACGAGCTTCAGAACTAATCTTATAATCATATCTCTAGATCCTTCTTTGGAACTGCGCCATCGCTGGTATACGCTGCTCGCACCGCCGTGTCTACTTCATATACTTTCTTGAAACGCTGAGCTATCTGACGGCCGGAAACATAGAACCGTGCTTGCGCTGAACTGCCAGGGGTACTAACGAGATAGCTTGTGCGGCCGCTACGGATACGATAGATAGATGTGATGGCACTGTATCTGTCTCGGTCCATGGAGTCGACTCTCGTCAAGTGGATGATGCTTCCTCGATTTAGAGATATCGACATGGGTTTCGAACGAGCAAATAGAAGCAAGGGGAGTGAATATACCGTCTTTTTGACCAAGACGAGCGTAGTATCGTGCAGTCCTTGGGATGATCACTGCTTGTTTACATGAGGACCTGCAGCCGAACCAGAAGCTGGCATCTGAGGGAGGACAAAACCTTCGCTGAGCGATCAATTATCTATGGGAGAGTCGACGCCAAAAGAAGGATCACCTAATAGAAGAGCCACAGGGTGATCATCATCTATGACCAATTATCGTATTGAAGTAATAATACTATATAAGAAATTTAATTACTACTATATATACACGTCCTCCAAGACCACACAGCGCTCTAGAAGCCAATAGAGCACAGCGGGCCGTAATCCAATCCATCCAAGTTCTTCTGGTAGTATGTCATGCTGCCTACACACTTGGGGCAGTAGAACACTCCCTCAGGATCGTACTTCTTCTTGATCAGCGCGAGGCGGATGTAGTTGGTGCCGAAAAAGTCGGTGGCCCAAAGAGGGTCATTGCGGTCAGCCTGTCATAGTCAGTAGAATTTCTATATAGCACCAAAGGGAGCT